CCCCAACCGTAACTGATAGACAATCATCGAGTTAAGTACAGGCGAAAGGTGACGAAAAGTTAACCATGATGAATGAGACCGTTGTAGCTCAGCAGCGTCAAATACAGATGTTGACAGAGGCTCAACAAAAATGTATGATGCAAGTTTTAGAAACACAACAGAGTCTGATGATGGGATTTAGGGAGTCCTTGCAAATACAAATCGATAGCATTAGTAAACTTGCAGAACAGTTTCAAGTCAGTAAGGAGACTCAAGAGAGACAACTACAAGATATGCGGAATCGATTAGTAGAAGATTTTCAGAAGCTCAAGTGTAGCCATGTTAATGGCCAAGAAAAAGGGGACGGAGTAGACAAGACAAACCAGATGTTAGAGGAGATGGGAAAAGATATACAAGGCCAGGAGGAATATCCAGAAAAACCTAAGAAGACTCAGGTATTGGAAAAACCGAGCCAGTATACTGTTGAATCAAAGGGAAGTACATTTCGGAACTTGGAATGTTATTATTGCCATAAATTCGATCATAGAATAGCCGACTGCTACTCCAGGAGGCGGGCACAAGAACGGGCACAAGAACGGGCACAAGAACGGGCACCGGAAGTCCATGAGAGACGGTCTCATGTAGCGACAGGGAGATATTTATCACCCAAAGATAAAGGGGTTGTGTCCGCTCGAGACACTAAAAGGATGGTGGCTCCGGAAAGAGTATGTGACACAGATAGTTATGGGAGAAATAATCATCATTCCCTTACCAAGAGACAATAACTCGATAGTGAGCTTCAAACAAGACATTTAGGATGAGTATGATTTTGTCCTATATGTGAAGTTGACATTTAGCTGAGAGTTGTGAGAAGTTATTAATGTACACAGAGTTAGACATTCAAATAGTTAGATATCTAGTGTTAGGGTTTGAGATAAGCCAGAGTTTAGAATATACATTGTACATTGTATTGAAAGCTAGTTAACCTCGAGGTTAGAAAATTGTAAGATTGTATTTTGTAGGATAGCTAAGATAGCAAAATTTTGTTATTTTTTTTATTGTACTTTGGCTTGGTGTTGTTAACACCAAAATCATTGGATTGGAGGAGTGTAACAAAATTTTGATTTTAATTTTTGGGGATTTAAGTGCTTCACAGTTGAGATTATTAAGATCTTTGATTGTAGTATCGATTAAAGCACTTTATTTGTACTTACAGAGGTGTTAGCAACTTTTTATTTTATCGAGTTCAGATTTAGTTAATGTTGATCGGGTAGTTTTACCAGTGACTATGGTTACGGTTGATCGAGAACTCTTGACTATCATTTTACAGAAATTATCACTTCCTGTTTTCAATTCGATCAAATCGAAGCGTAATTAGACTAGATAGCGATCATTTATGGTTATATTTATTGAGTGTATACTATAATCTTGTTGATTATGTACCAAACATGTATTGATATTGGGTGTAAAAGCCGAGATCGTGATTTGTAAGTGAAGCCAGTTATTTTTACGAAACTAATATCCTGATTCAGTGATTACATCCGGTGACGAGGTATTGCATCAGCCATTCACGTGATCATACTACATGTTCCATACATGTCAGGGGTATAAATACGGAGTGAGCATACAACAAGCCAGACACGTAGGCAACTTTTGATTGGAACACATCTCCCGTGCCAGTGTTTCATTTGGGAATTGATGAGAAACTTAGAAGATTTGCTGGATCGAGGAACTTTGTCATTTCCAGACATAGTTTAGAATATTCCAGCCTGTTTGAAGAAATACTGCTGGATCGAGGAACTTTGTCATTTCCAGACATAGTCTAGATAACTCCAGCCTGACTGAAGAAATACAGCTGGACCGAGAAACTTTGTCAATTCCAGGCATAGTTTAGAATATTCCAGCCCGTTTGATGAAATACTGCTGAACCGAGAAACTTTGTCATTTCCAGGCAAAGTTTTAGAATATTTCAGCCCGATTGAAGAATTACTGCTGGACCGAGAAACTTTGTCAATTTCAGGCATAGTTTAGAATATTCCAGCCCGTTTGATGAAATACTGCTGAACCAAGAAACTTTGTCATTTCCAGGCAAAGTTTTAGAATATTTCAGCCCGATTGAAGAATTACTGCTGGACCGAGAAACTTTGTCATTACCAGACTTAGTTTATATTATTCCAGCCTGATTGAGAAGGAGTGCCAGAAACTTGTATTTTCAGGTGTTATTAAGTAACTTGTTTTTCTATTGTTAACTTGAGAAACTTTGCCATTTTTCGAAATCAATTGTTAACTTGAGAAACTTTGCCATTTTGAGATCGAGAAACTTACATTATTCTTTTCATAATTTAGCTAACTTGAGAAACTTTGATATTTTTGAGATTGAGAAACTTACATTATTCTTTTCATAATTTAGCTAACTTGAGAAACTTAGCCATTTTTTTAGATCGATTATTTTTCATCAATTTGCTGACTGAAGAAATACTGCTGGACTGAGGAACTTTGCCATTTCCAGACAAAGTTCATAATATTCCAGCCTGATTGAGGAACTTTGCTGGATTGAGAAACTTTGTCATTTCCCGACATAGTTTATACAATACTCCAGCCTGACTGAAGTAATACTGCTGGACTGAGGAACTTTGCCATTTCCAGACAAAGTTCATAATATTCCAGCCTGATTGAGGAACTTTTCTGGATTGAGAATCTCTGTCGTTTCCCGACATAGTTTATACAATATTCCAGCCTGTTTGAAGGACTCTGCTGGATTGAGGAATATTCCAGCCTGATTGAGGAAGTACAGCTGGATTGAGAAACTCTGTCCTTTCCCGACATAGTTTATACAATATTCCAGCCTTACTGAAGAAATACTGCTTGACTGAGGAACTTTGCCATTTCCAGACAAAGTTCATAATATTCCAGTCTGACTGAAGAAATACAGCTGGACTGAGAAACTCTGTCATTTCCCGACATAGTTGATACAACTCCAGCCTGTTTGAGAATAAGTACCAGAAACTTAGCTCATTTGGAGGAGCTGTTGAGGAACTTGGAATATTTTCACTCAACCTGGATGACTTAATGAAAACTAAGTACGAGACACTTAGTTTATTTGGGAGCTACCAGGGAATCTTAGGCAGATTCCACATATTGAGGAACTTAGAGGATCTTCATCGATTTAGGAGCTAGTGGGAATCTTAGGCAGATTCCACATATTGAGGAACTTAGAGGATCTTCATCGATTTAGGAGCTACTGGGAATCTTAGGCAGATTCCACATATTGAGGAACTTAAAGGATCTTCATCGATTTAGGAGCTACTGGGAATCTTAGGCAGATTCCACATATTGAGGAACTTAGAGGATCTTCATCGATTTAGGAGCTACTGGGAATCTTAGGCAGATTCCACATATTGAAGAACTTAAAGGATCTTCATCGATTTAGGAGCTACTGGGAATCTTAGGCAGATTCCACATATTGAGGAACTTAGAGGATCTTCATCGATTTAGAAGCTACTGGGAATCTTAGGCAGATTCCACATATTGAGGAACTTAAAGGATCTTCATCGATTTAGGAGCTACTGGGAATCTTAGGCAGATTCCACATATTGAAGAACTTAAAGGATCTTCATCGATTTAGGAGCTACTGGGAATCTTAGGCAGATTCCACATATTGAGGAACTTAGAGGATCTTCATCGATTTAGGAGCTACTGGGAATCTTAGGCAGATTCCACATATTGAAGAACTTAAAGGATCTTCATCGATTTAGGAGCTACTGGGAATCTTAGGCAGATTCCACATATTGAGGAACTTAGAGGATCTTCATCGATTTAGGAGCTACTGGGAATCTTAGGCAGATTCCACATATTGAGGAAATAAGTACGAGACACTTAGTTTATTTAGGAGCTACTGGGAATCTTAGGCAGATTCCACATATTGAGGAACTAAGTATGAGACACTTAGTTTATTTAGGAGCTACTGGGAATCTTAGGCAGATTCCACATATTGAGGAACTTAGAGGATCTTCATCGATGTTGCCTGTTGGGGACGTTGAATAGTGTCACCCCCGATCTGGATGACTTTGTTGGAAACTAAGTACGAGACACTTAGTTTATTTAAGAACTACTGGGAATCTTAGGCAGATTCCACATATTGAGGAACTTAGAGGATCTTCTTCGATGTTGCCTGTTGGGGACGTTGAATAGTGTCACCCCCGACCTGGATGACTTTGATGGAAACTAAGTACGAGACACTTAATTTATTTGGGAACTACTGGGAATCTTGGGTAGATTCCACATATTGAGGAACTTTGTCACTTCCAGACATAGTTTAGAATATTTCAGCCCGATTGAAGAATTACTGCTGGATCGAGGAACTTTGTCATTTCCAGACTTAGTTTATATAACTCCAGCCTGATTGAGGAACTAAGTTGATTCCAGACTTAGTTATTTTATTTCAGGCCAGCCTGAGATTTGCCTTCGTTGAGAGACTGTTATTCCAAGGCATAATCACTGAAGCTGTAATGAGAGACTGTTATTCCCAGATTTATACCTAGCTGAATTGAACAAGTCCAGAGCTCAAGAGACAATTGAGTGTACAAGTATTTTCGTATAGAGGACTCTAATATTAGTGCTTCGAAAACTATCATTGCATATAAAGGACTTTAACCTTAGTGTCTCAGTAACTGAAGTAAAGCAAATATATCGATTTTCATGTATTATTTTGACGGGCTAAAACGCCACAATATACGTGTTATTGTATTTAATTGTATATAAGTTGTTATGTATAGATTTCCCATGTGTATATTTAACGTATACCCTGAGACCCACAGTGACACAGTCTATTAAACAACATCCACACTACCATAATTAGGCTGAATGTTACAATATGTTAAACATAGTCTGTAAATACATTCATTATATTTTGGTCAATGATGGTCTGTAATAGTTGCCAATTTTAATCCGTGCAAACTTTTAGAACTTTCATATTTCTCTTTCACTGTGAAAACCCTTAAACTGTCCATCAACTTTATCAGGTTTCAAATATGCTGGGCTCCAGTATGCGCGACACTGTTTTTGTGGGGACAAGTTTGGAAAATATGGCCTAGCTGATAGCGATTCAGAGTGTAGGATGACTTGTCAAGGCGACCCCTCTCAGAACTGTGGTGCAGCTGCTAGAAATTCAGTCTACCTTATTCGATGAATGTAGAGCGATACGCCCGCATAAGATGCGACCATGTTTTGATTTAAGTTTGATATTTCGATTTTGAAATAAATGTCCAGATAAAAATGTAAAAAAATATTATTTCGTGATTATTTTTAAGTTAGGTATAATATCACAACATACAATGCATCTCATAACAATATTAACCGAATAAGGAAACACCATGGCAAACTCGAACATCTCTTGTGTGTGACAGTCGTTATAAGGATTCAAAAGGGATGCTGATGCAGTTGATTGCTTCGTTTGAACTCATTCGCGGTCGGTTATTAGTTGGATTGAAATTTGAAACCAATGGGAATTGGAAGCCGTTATTCAAACTCGATACTCCGATGTCCGGCGTAGACCAATTTGGTAACAATTGCTGGAATTACACCATGCGTTTTAAAAAGGCCTCTAAGGTTTTAACCGGGTTTGAAAAATAGGTATAAACACGATTGCGGTTTTACAAAAGCGCTTTTCCGAAACTCCTAGAACCTGAGGCCCGGGTAATCTGTCATTAATAAAAAAATCAGTCTTATTCTTATCCATTAAGCTTATAAAAATCAGTCTTATTCTTATAGATGTAAGTAATCTAGTAAAAGATTTATATACATGTATACACCACGCATTACCAACTCTACACTAGCGGACATTTAAACATTTTTAACTTATTCCTGGGCCTCGGCCTAGAACCCGTGTCACTAAAAAACGCCTTAAATCGTTAGGCGCTTTAGGAGTGTAGTGTAATACCGATCGGTTTTTGTAAAACGCCTTACCCGGGTTTTTACCATTTGCCCTAAACGAAATAACACGTATTTCGAATGCTACAGGCTACACATTTGGGCCACCGCAAAAATACAGGAAATGATGGTTGGAGCCCAAAAACAATAGGTCATCAAATCATGTCGCAAAATTGAAAGTAAGTGCACATCACTGGCAAAAGTCTCGGTTACGTTTTCTCATGGATGCTAAAAGAATTAAATTTATTGTAGATGTACACATACTGCTGGATTTTCTCCATATCTGCATCATAAAAGTGCACTTTAGAAATGGCAGGTGTAATTCAAAAGGCGTTTTGGAAATGTTGGTGTAATCAGGATGGCGATTTTGTAAAACGCTTTCCACTAAAGTGCTTTTAGCGTTTTTTCTGGTGTAATTCCAGCAAATAGTACTCAGACATATTTTGAAGACTAGAACTGCTGAGGAAGCTTGAATACTACCAAAATATTTGGAATGACCGTCTTTCAACGAAATTCTTGGTCCAAAGAGAACCTTATAGCCTTGCCAAAGACGGTATTTTTTACTTATCTGATCTTGTAGAAATATTTTTATAAATTGTTCCACTGCAGGCAACGGAGTATCGAGTTTGAATAATGGCTGCCAATCCTCCTTAGATTGAAACCAATAAATGCAACACTTGTATATTAACTTTTTATTTAAATATTTATGATATCATGGGAGCCTGGACGTATGGCAGTTCACTAATTCTTTCTAATGTGTTGTTCCTCAGAACTGTTCCATTGTTTGTTGTAAATATAGCTGTATTAAAACTTCACATACACCAAACATTACTCAAAATTAATATCATTTTTGGTAATTATTTGCGACCAAGCTTAAAATGTCAATATCATACATGTCATAAGATTTTGAAAGAAAGAAATATGAAAGGACAGGTGGCGGTAAACCCCTCTTTTAGCCCCCCTACAAAACAAGTATATATTGACATGGAATTGAAGAGGAAGTATGATTTATTACTTAAAATGTGATTTCTGAGAATTTTGACAATTGATCTTGACATTAGGGTGGTTTAAAGGTCAACTTTGAGAGATGCTATTTTTGTCAAAATTTTGCCATTTTCTAATACAAGAAATGAAAGCAATTGGCTTAATTTTGGTTGTGACTGATAATAAGACATGTGAATGGAAATAAAAATATTCTTAATAAATTCTCATGGGCAATTACAAGAAAATCTTGAGAATAAATCCCAATATGGGCATTTTTAGGGGGACTAAATTTTCCTGTTTCAAAAATGAATGATCTTGTTGCCTTTTGAGACTCCAACAGTATCCTAAGCATGTTTTAAGAGTTAGGATGTGATTATTGTTTTAATGCCCATGGGCAATAAGAATAAAAAGACTGCAATTAAATGCACACAAGGGCACGTCCATGAGAATGGATTTTCTTATTTCAATCGCCTCTTACCAGTTTTCTAAACATCGGTTTGCCATATTGTAAATAGTTATAGGGTCACTTTTAAATGTCTGAATGGACACTTAATTTTAAAGTTATTTGCCAATTTGCAGTTCCCATATTTGAAACACAAATAATTCAGAGAAATCGTCTTTCAATATATATCATAAGATATAAGGCAGCATCATGTATAAATGACATGACACTCATAGGATTGCTTAAAATTCTCTACTTATACCCTATTTAGAAAAACACTTAGGCCATTCAAAGATGTTTTTATAATTAATGTCACTAAATTCTATGTTTTCAGAAAACAACAAAATGTTCCCATGTACTCTGTACTTGTTATGCATGTATATGACAAAGGGAATTGTGATCTTGGATTGTATTGTAGTGAAATGAGTTCCAAAATTGATTAAAAACTATGTGTATACAACCTTCAGTATTGTCTTCATTAACAAGGTCATCTGAATCAAGAGGTGTGTTACTTGCCTTCCCACAGTGTGTTATTGCATTTTCGCTATAAAATAATATATAAAACCCTTTAAATAAATAAAGGTTTTAATATAAGGCCCTTCATCAGAATGCCAACATATAATTAATTTTGAATGGCCTAATCTGTACCTGCAGTTATGTAGTGTACAATGTATGCCCAGGTTAGCAGCCATATTGAAAACATAAACCAGTCAGCCTTATTTTCATCACAAAATTTAAGTTTTAGTGGTTAGCCCACACTTCCACAGCAATGATATTTGCAGAGAAGCTACTTCACAGTCTCTGCATTATACAGTTTCAATATCTTTTTTGTGGGAGTGTGGGCTGATGGTTAAATTTTCAATGAAAGGGAATGAGCACCATGCTAAAACTTGATGACAAAGTGAACAAAAATGACAGTGTTTTCCAGATTTGCATTAGTAAACTTCATACATAGCTAGATTTTGTCAATTTTCTTCTCCGAATACTTGTATGCCATAGGTTCCATATATTAAATTCTATATAATGATAATTTTTGATATTATTTTGATGGTAATCATAATGTGTTCCCATATTCAGACAGTCTTGTGATAGGGGTTCTACTGCCAAATTTTCAAACAAACTGAAAACTAATGCCACTTTTTGAAATTGCACATTTCAAGGAAAAGGGTTTATCTACAACTTGCAATCGGTTTTAAAAGTAAATGGACAAAATGAGTTTTTTGGGAAAAGTCTAAGTGGACCAATAGTCTGTTAAATGGACCTGTTCTTTGTTTTTTGAGATTTTTCAGGCAGATTTTAAATGTTAAAAATATACAATTAAACCCACTGATTGCCATCTTTTGACAGTCCTTAGGTCATAATTTTCAAAATCAAACAATAAAGATACAGCAAACGTGTATGCCCTTCAGTCTAAAAACATTCGGTTTCCCCTTATTAGTATAGGAAAGAAGGGAATTTAAATGATTTATTATCTTCAAAACTGAACAACATAAGTTTTCATCATAGCTCACATGTTATTTTTATTATTGCTCTTTTGGAAATTATTTTCAATTTTGGTTTTAAGATTGTGATATTGGGAAACGAATGCTATAAAGCTGAATAACCCATATGTAAGAATCAGGCTGAGGTCTGGGTTAGATTTCCAAATGCCTGTTCAAAGCTTTCAAGTTCCTCGAATGAAACTTTATAGCGTTCCAGTTTTCCATAGTTATTACCATACAAACTATCATCAACGGGATTATAGTTCAACGACCATACAGATGCCCAGTCTAGGTGATCCCCGCGTACGTTGTTACTCTGTAAGAGAGGTATCACATTCTCTTCCAAAACGAACCCCTTGCTTGTGACAGTATCGTAGACATAGCGGATATCAGTGGGAGAATCCTTGCAGAACCCGGTGAGATACAACACACAGTTCGCCATGAAGGCGTTGCCAACCTTCCCAACGAATGGCACGTATATGGGATAATCAGTGTACCAAGTCCCTAAGTTTGTAAGATCGTCGGGATCCAAGAGACTAACTGTAATATTGCCCTTGTTACCAGTTGGGTATATCACCCATAGAAGTCCGTTTTCATCTGTTGAGAATGACAGGTACCTATATCTTCCATCACAAAACGTATGGCTGATCGTTCTTTTCAACTCTGGAATTGGGTTGGCGATAACAGCTTCACCAGTTGAAAGGTCATACTTCATCAACATGCTACCATTGTAGTGGTCACAGTAAAGGTTATTGTTTAAGATTACATGATCGGTCCCCTGACACCATTTGCCAGCTGGTAAGTTTATCAAGGATGACGGGTTCCCTGATGTTTCTAGGGTATTCAGATCGTCGTAAACCTTAACCTGCGAAGCTCGTCTGAAACCATAAACATAATTATTGGAGTATCTAAGAATGAAAATGACAGGTAAGCAAACTCACTTTCCAAGATGGTATGACTCCACCATTGTTTTGCCGTTTTACTACATGCCACAATCAACCTCACTGCCAGCATATCAAACCAGGCCCATTTTCCATCAAACTTGGCCCAACTACTATCAGGTGGACGTCCTTCAAAAATCAAGTTGGCATGGTTACCAAAGCCTTATAGTTGCCATGGCAACCGTAGAAATGGGGTAAAAAATTAGAGCAAAAAAGCACCCAAACCCACCACATTGGCACTAATTTATAAAATATTTCTAGACATACAAATTTTCTTAAACTTTGATATCATTTAGGACACTTCTAAACGACAAAAATATCAAAAATTGGGGGTAGGTTTACCACTTCGATTTTTTTCTAGGCTTGGTCAAAGTAAAACTACGAAAAAAGCACTCATTTTCACTTTTGAATCACCTATTATCGCCCAAATGGCTATATTTTTTCAAGGTCAAGGTCGCCATGTTAAAAGTAGAATTACGGAGATAAATCTGCTCTTCAGACAATGTTTGATGGCTTTTCTCCACCACGGAACAAAGATCTTTGCGCTGGTATGCCCATTTCCATGAGATAATATATGTGAAAGAGGAACTATGTCTTTAAATGTCATCAAAACTTTATGCCAACGCGTGAAAAGTCCATTTCGCACTACTTTTGGTGTAATAATTCCATAATGGAGACATGTTTTCTTATTCAGCACTAGTGCAACTGTTTTTAGGTAATTGAGACATTTCTGATAAAAATGGTATCCAGAAACATGATATTTTGAATAAAACGGGGCCAAAAAACGACCCCTGAAGATGCCAGGATTATTTGAGATTTTGGTGTTTTTCACTGGCCTGAAAAATGGATGGGGTAGGGGAGTGACACACCTTTTGGGCTTATTCAAGTTAGCATTTTAATCAAATGAATGGTCACATGTTTGGTACCATCTTAAAGCTTGTCACGTCCGCTTCAATTTGGTACCCATATCATGAGGTCAGATGCTATATTGTGACGTCACGATGGTACCAAACGATTATAAATTGAAAATTAAAGATCTAATAGCAAAGGTTTTGCAAAAATAAATCAATGTAGTATAAAACAAATGTATGTATTATGAAGAAATAAATATATAATGAAAAAAATAGATATGTGTTTGTAATATTGGTATAAACTTAAGATTAAAAAGTGTCACTATCTCTTTCATTTTTCAACAAATATAGGCTCACGTGACATGTGACGCGGGGCAGTCAATTTTGATCTATCGTAGACCATATCAGTATCAAATTACTGATATTTCAACCTCGTCTTGCGAGGCCATTTTGATTTGAAACATCTTGAATTTGGTGTCAAAATGAAGCTGGTCACGCCCACTTTCAGAGTTATCAATGAATCATTTACTACGACTACTATATTCATTTAGGAGGCGTGTAAAGTTAACCAATCAGAAAGACAATTGTTCCATATATGGCAGTTCATTAACATATTCAGTGTTTACTACTGCTTTTCACGTCATGACAACACGAGTAGTAACCAATCAAGATGCCGTATTTTATCACGTGAGTTCAGAGTGACACGCACGCGACATGTTGTCTGGGGTGATCGCGATGTTGAACAATTTCTTCTCGGAATTTGTCCAGAGAAATCAGCGATTCTAAATTAAGGTAGGATCTGCCATTTTTTCCTGTACAAGTTATAACTTATCTCTATCGAATCCTAAAGTTTTGGAAGAAGATATGAAGCGTAGGTTTAAAAACGAAGCGATTAATTTGACGATCTGATTTTGCAATTTGCAATGGCCAATTTACTGCAAGTCCAGTGCATGTATTTGACAAGAGATAGCGCCAAGTCTGGTATCTAAATGCTTGTTAAGCCACTCAAAAACAAGATCCATATCTTCTAAATTTGATAACTTTGCAGAAAACCTGTTTTCATAATCTGTTTTCCGCGTCTAGATTCAAACTGAGTATGATAATAGGATCGCTGGAATCTTCAGTCAATGGCAACGGGTCTTCATTCCAGAACTCACATTTTTAGTTGATTCTCCGTCATAGTTCTTGTTTAAAGTCCCCATATCTGCTCTCTTACTGCCATACTTGCACACATTTCCCCTCCTTAAATTGTCTTCATTCAAATTACACCCTCTCGCCGATTTATATAGTCATTTCCCAGAACCCGGGAATCAGAATCGCTGATGTTTGCCATATTGAACATATTATATGTACTGTAATATCTGTACATTGACTGCTACGCGTAATGGTCACGTGACTAGCGCGATACAGGAAAAATGGGGAATTTCGAAACAACAATTTTTGGGCACTTTTATTGCAAAGGACGATTCTCGGTTTGGAGAACAGTCTCCTGGGCTAATAATTTTTTTCATGAAAAATATAGAAATATTACCCAAATTAAACTATGAATATTCAAAAGAGGACATTTAAATCTACAAGATGTAAAAATAACAAATTGGTCTGAAGCAGGGATAACGCTCAATTAGACCGATTCAATAAAATACAAGTCTCGATTTAGGGAAAGAAGTTCATCAGTGTACTACGCTAATATTTTTTTGCGAAAAATCTAGAAATATTACCCAAATTAAATTATGACTATTTAAAAGAAGACATTCAAATCTATATTATGTAAAAAAATCAAATGTGTCCGAAGCAGGGATAATGCTCATTTAGATTGATGAACTTCGTTCTCCAAACCGAGAATCGTCCTTTCAGGTATTTATAAAGTGTTTGTGGTATAAAATATAATCCACAGACATAAATGAACATCCAAACTACATGTTTCATTAAGTTTTGGAGCCTTTTTTGCTCTTAAATCAACATCTTTAAGCATCAAAATGCGGCAAAATAATGGTATGACTCCACCATTGTTTTGCCGTTTTACTACATGCCACAATCAACCTCACTGCCAGCATATCAAACCAGGCCCATTTTCCATCAAACTTGGCCCAACTACTATCAGGTGGACGTCCTTCAAAAATCAAGTTGGCATGGTTACCAAAGCCTTATAGTTGCCATGGCAACCGTAGAAATGGGGTAAAAAATTAGAGCAAAAAAGCACCCAAACCCACCATATTGGCACTAATTTATAAAATATTTCTAGACATACAAATTTTCTTAAACTTTGATATCATTTAGGACACTTCTAAACGACAAAAATATCAAAAATTGGGGGTAGGTTTACCACTTCGATTTTTTTCTAGGATTGGTCAAAGTAAAACTACGAAAAAAGCACTCATTTTCACTTTTGAATCACCTATTATCGCCCAAATGGCTATATTTTTTCAAGGTCAAGGTCGCCATGTTAAAAGTAGAATTACGGAGATAAATCTGCTCTTCAGACAATGTTTGATGGCTTTTCTCCACCACGGAACAAAGATCTTTGCGCTGGTATGCCCATTTCCATGAGATAATATATGTGAAAGAGGAACTATGTCTTTAAATGTCATCAAAACTTTATGCCAACGCGTGAAAAGTCCATTTCGCACTACTTTTGGTGTAATAATTCCAGATTATAGAAGTTGTACCTGAGATCTTTAGATCCAGGCCTTGCTAGATCTCCAATTTTGTCGATGGCGTAGACCTTTGTGAACAATTCATCAGAAGCGTCTCTCAACCAAGTACCAACTGCGTAAATGTACGACCTATGTGGCTGAATCACAGGTTTATTGATACTCTTGATGTATAACTTTTCACATTTACCTGCAAAGACAAGGTGCATCATACTGTTTTATTTCCACCTTTAAAAAGTACTATAGAGTTTATATTTGATTTTAGAGATTGTTTTTACCCTACCTTTTAGGGTTGGGGTAAGGGTTGCAAAGTTTTGCCGTATAAAAAGCAGCTATATGCTGTATATCCTATACGTATCTAGTAGTCATTAGGACTTTTGTAGATGTAGCTTTTAATCAAATATACCTCCATCGATGTGAAGACAATCTGATTTATTTGTTTACCTTTAAGATGAGAATTAACATCATCCTTGTCTTTATCCTTGCCACCATCATCGCCATCGGTAAAGCACATACCATGAGCATACTTAATTGACCACTTCTTTATTGAGTCAATCGCCGAGTTCAATTTAACCAAATACTGACGCCTACCTTTCTTGGACTTGCTAAGTTTGTTTGCAACAGGTAGGAGTTGCTTTACTATAATCGACCTTAAGTTCCATATATTCTTTTTTACGACACTGTCCTTCTCTTGGGAAGCCAACAAAAAGGATTTTTCCTGAAGTACATAAATGATCAATATTATCATTGACATCATTGACAAGTCCATAACAACAATAATGAGAATAATGCTTAAACATGACAATGCAAATTGGCACAACCTGGTGAGTTGTTGCAAATGGCTTACAAAAGTTAAATTAAATTAAAAACTTTGAGAAGACCAAGAGAAGCAATAAGGAGATTTAGGTATTTTGGGCAGATACAATTTCATTTCACTAATGATACCTTTATGAACTTTGCCATTAGTGCGACGAGTTTGAACCTCTGCTTGACAACGGACTCCTTGTAATCCCTGTCAAGGATTTTGCGTATTTCCGTATAGTCTTTCAAAATGGCTTCCACCGCTGGCAAAATGCTCATTACGCTATCTGTTGTATAACATCAGAAAAAGAAATAAATCCACTTTCGGTTATGACCAGTCAACTCAACCAAGTGTATGTTGAGTTGACTGGTCCTTAGATAAAAGCCTAATCTAAATCAGTTAGTATCCACGTAAGGTCTTTTATTCAATTAAATTCAAAAACTATCTTAATTTTTTGAAGCATGTCAGTTCGGTCCTCATACACCCTACCTATATTAATAGGGAGTTTAAGCTTGCATATAAAATCGAAACGCCAACCTATACGTATGACCAATCGCCCATACACGTGCATCGCGTTCACGTTTAGGTTGTGAAAAACATTGCAAGCCTATTGAATGTTTTCTTGCCGTTAACTGACTTGTGTCTTGGATCTTTTTATGCCATAGTCGGACTGAACTTTATCATAATTACACATACAATATCGATGTTTGTTAATAAACACATTGACACTCACCTGGTATGGATTGATTCGTCCTCTCCATACCACCATCCGTTGCCTCGTATGACTCAATCGCTAACCCCAATACTAAAATATGGGAGATACATATGAGCCAAAACATGGTGAATAGTTATGGGAGCAAGCTAGACTCTTCTAATCGTCGTCGTTGACTCTTGCTGACTCACCAGCGATATTAACTTCTATCATGGTAAATGATTCAAACGTTTTAACACAATGCAAAACTAATGTTTATTCTATTTTTGTGTTGAATAGTAATTATTCAGCAAATGGTATTAAACGTTTCATAAAAATAGCCATCTAGATATATTAACATTAATGCAAACAATAGGGAGACAAGTTGCTGCTGGGAATGAAATGCAAAAATTAATGTCTAACTTAAATCCTGTTGCAGCAGGACGCGATGATCTCAAACATTTAATTCATCAACTCCTTTCCTGCTCTTAATTAGTTTAGGAATTGGGAAATCTTTCGTTACAATAACCAAATAAAAGCACAACCAATGGAACATGCATTATTATATCACTGCTAATATCGTGTGATTTGATTGGCTGATTCAGTATCATGTGACCAAAAATATCATTGCATTTGCTTATTATGGCTTAGGATTATTGCAATAAAATAGAAATATATTCAATTCTTTTGAATTTAAACCCAAAATCACGGCAAATTGGAAATATTAAACCCTAGGCAATCAAGTTAACACAACAATTACACAATCACGCCAATATTAGGGTGATTAGGAATGAGAGGGAAAGGATGTGGCCAATTCCAACATATTTATTTCCAGCAGCTTTTTCGGGATCGCCTGCAATAGCAAGGGTTGACCCAGAGACATACTTAATAATAACATAATGATATAATGTCTCTGGTTGTCTTAATATACACTCCCCTCCATAAGTTTGGCAACCTTTTTTCCCCATTGAACTATGTGTTAAAGCCTCTTTACGTTTGAATTCTTATTTACTTAACCGGCGATGAAATAACTTATAATATTGATGGAAACGTAACTTGACTTTATTTCCAATACCTTCAAATTTTACCTCGGAAATTGATGATAAATTTGATGAATTTTTGAAAATCGTCATTCCCATGTAATCCAATGGGAAATGGAGGGTTCGGGGCAAATCAGAAATCAGGATATCTTTGCAGTAAAAGATTCAGCAAAAAATATTTTTATATAGAAAATTGAATTGTCTAACTTTTTTGAACATTAAGTGTTTAGTTTATTTGATGAATATTAAAGTTACAGCGCTTCAAAGTCATTTTTGAAAATAATTTTTCGCCTCCTGTGTTATTTCAATGGGAGAGGTTTTTTGAAAAACAATTTTGACTTTAAAGCCCTATAACTTTGTTGAACCTGAAGAAACATATCAATTTTTTGTTAAATAAAGTTAGCAAATTCAATTGCCTGCCTAACTTGTATTTTTTGCAAGGACTCGGATGGATGGATATTCTGTCATATGACTTACGGCAAACCTACCATTTCCCATTGGTTAACATGGGAATGACGATTTTCAAAAATTCATCACATTTATCATCAATTTTCGACCTATTGTAATTGAGGAAAAAAATTGAGAAAATTTTGAGGTATTGGAATTAAAGTTAAATTACGTTTCAATCAATAGTATAAGTATTTTCATCGCAGGTTAAGTAAATAAAAATTCAAAGGTAAAGAGGCTTTAACACGTAGTTCAATGGGGGAAAAAAGGTTGCCAAACTTATGGAGGGGAGTGTAGGCTATGAAAATATGCAAAAATGCTGGGCTTGTCTCTGGAGGGAAACATGAATGTGTCAGGCGAAGTTGCCCACTATATGCTCACAGACATCTTGTGTAATGGCTCTTCTCTGAATTCTAATCTGTTGTTTAAACTCTCTACTGCATCTAGAGTTGTTAGTGTGGACATTATCATTTAGAGAGTCCCAAGTCTGGAAATTCATGGAACGAGGACGGCATTTGGAGCATGTTTTGTAAAATGGCAATAAAATCTTGACCATTTAATTGGACGAATACAACTTACTTGAATGAAAGAACATTAAAGAAAAAAATATATCCTATTTATATTTATATCATATTTAGCTGGATTTAATGCAAAATTAATTTAATGCAAACAATATAAGCCTTTACTTAAATAAAAAAAACTTGACCACATATACATTCTTGGAATAACAGTCGATCAAACTTTAAATTGGAAACGTTATATGGCATTCAAATACTCGTAAATCTCTAGAAACAAATTTTTCAAAAGTGTGATAAGACCAAATGTATAAAGCTGAACAATATCCCAGATGCGAGTAGAAATAATTTTGATTTACGTCATTAAAAATTCACAATTCAGTCAAACTGATGTCATATTTGGAATCTACATGTAAAATTACAGTTAGAAATGTGGTTTTGAAAAGAGTTTATCAACGTTGAAAATTTAATTTTCTTTGAAAATGTGACTTCTAGGTCGGAGAGATTCCCCATAGACCCCATGTTGTAAAACCACAAAAAAAGTGAAATATATTTTCTTGTGTTGGGCAGATAATATTTTCTTTTACTGGACATATTTTAATTTGTATAACTATCAGATACATAAAGGTAATATGAAAAGTGAACCACTAAAACTGATGCATATTCAGGTTTAGGGGAATTTTGTAATACCCTGCCATGTTAATTCCCCCGAATCAGCCACCTGGTGGTGAAACTGGTAACTACCTACTCGCATCTGAGTAATTGTACAATGAAATCATCAGGTCTGAGTTTGATTTCCAAATGCTTTTTCAAAGCATATCACGTTGCTCGAATGAAACTTTATCGCGTCCCAGTTGCCCATATAGTTATTTATTTGGAAGACCATTTTCACCAGCTAAGAATGGCAGATACCTATACCTTCCATCACGGATTGAATTGATTGTCGATCTTTTCAACTCTGAGATTGGATTGGCGATTAATGGCTTCACCAGTTAAAAGGTCGTATAACATCAGCATGCTACCATTGTAATGGTCACAGTAAAGGTTATTTTTAAGAGGATGACATGATCGTTCCCATGACACCTTCTCCCAAGAGGTAAATATGGTCCTAGGGTGTATGGTCCCACGGACCATATATTCAGGGAGACTATATTTACTCTGACACCGGTGTAAAAGAAATTATGGTCCCCTGGGGATTATAGTCCCCTTTCCTTACGGCCCTTACTGGCCCTGACTGTGTATAAATAATAAGAAAAATAATTGTTATTAGTATAGGTCACCATATAAATCAATAGAGAGTAGGACCAAAATTTGATAGGACCACCTACATGTACCCTTTTACACCGGTCATTAGTGCTAACTCATCGGTGATATTAACTAAACGTTTCAAACGTTAACACAATACAAATACAAAGCAAATGTTTATTTATATATAATGTGTATTGTATAATATAGGTTTTAGCGGATAAATCATTACAAAAAATATAGCGTTTTAGATAATTAACATTCATGGCATTTGTCTATGATGCACTGACTGAGTGGATGCATGCCAGCCAACAAATGACATTTACATCATATCAAATAAGCATGATAATCTTAAGTTTCGGTTTGAGGTTGTCTTCATTTTACCTAGTAGTTTTCAACCAGGCTCAAGTTCATGCAGATCCTAGAAAATATTGGGTTGCAATTGTTTCTAAATCACCAGATGCTCTCTTATATTTGTCTTTCGCTTCTTTGATGCAATCATTCAGTAAGTGATGCAATGTCGTTTTGAAATCACAAGGTCACATGATAGAATGCTCCATTCAAGAATTCGAAAGATCGACGGTAAAATTTGGACGTGGCCTGATCGTGAAATTGTTAATAAACCTACACTTCTTTGATACAATCACTCGTCAAATAGTTCACAAATGTTTCAATGGCGCTTGTGTTGAAATCACAAGAGTAGAAGGCTCCATTCCAGAATACGATGTCGGTGATATCTCTAACTTGGTTTCTCGTGGCCTCAGGGAGAATATGTTTGCTTGGTGTTGGAGAGTTAACGTGACTCGCCTGGTGATGAACAACAACCAACAATACGGTACCATGCCCTGAAAAATAAAAAGGTCACAATAACACTAGGGGAACATACTAGACACGGGGTCTGGATTGAATGTAGTTTTGAATAAGGCCCTTGCCCCCTCCTCCGCAAACATAACAAGTCTATTTGAGGAAGAGGTAGTCTAAAATCTTGATGCATAACATGACAAATTCCTATCATTTGTGAAAAAATCAAAATATTCTGTTCGGCAACCATTCCGAACGTACAACTTTGAACTTTATTTCAGTCTCATTTTCAGAGGGCTGAAAAAGCTATTACATCATGTTTAGGGTCATTCTGATCATTCCCATTGTAATCCTGGCCATGTAAATGATATACGGAACTAGTGAAACTGACTGAAGGTCAAACAGAACACGGATGGACGGGCGGCTTCTCTATCTCCCTACAAACTTTGTTCGGTGGTGTGATAACATTCGCCTTTAATGTGAGTGAGGAATATAAGAGTGAATAATTAGTTCAAAAAATTTCAAAAATCCACATGTATTTTCACTTCCTGTTTTGTCACTTCCTGTTAAGTACCTTGGGACCTTATGTTGCACTGCCCGAACCTTAAATCAAACGTATATGGACGTTTGCTTACCTTGTACTTGTTTTAAAGCTTTCGCCACATCGACCCCAAGTCTTGATGATTTCAGACAAAATAGAACAGTGGGGACATCTTTCTGTTCGGGAGGAACCTGATGTACTTCAATCTGACGCGTTTGCATCTCATCTTTAATAGACGACTCAACGCTGCTCACCAATCCGTCCAGTATGTTCCCACCCGAACTCTTCATTATGCTAAATATTGCTAAAATTCAAAAGAACATATATTTAATACAAAGTTTAAAAGTAATTTTAGTCAAAAGTCAACTTCTAGTAACAAGATTAAGTTTAAAATCACTTTGAATAAGTATATAATGATACTGAATTATCTCAACAGACAGTATTAGTAAATACATATATACATCAGTCCGATTAATTACATCGTTTCTTACCTTTAACATTTTTTCTGTTTTTCTGCGAAGCTCTACATTTTCGTTTTTCAATTTCAGAATTGTTTCGTCTTGTGCTTTATACTTGTTATCTAGGGTTTTCAAGTCATTGCTTAGTTTCGCATGTTCTTTCTCTAAGATTGAATATTTCTCTTTTAGAGCACATGTACTGTTGCGTGACTCGGACAATTCTTTTTGGACTTGACTCAATGCTTTCTCATTGTTGTTATATCTATTCAATTCTGTCTGATGCTTTGCGGTTTGGGACCTGTTGAGTTCTTCTTGTTTCTTCAAATCATTAAAGACTCTGTCAAGCCTGGTCGATATGTCTTGTTTTTCGCGCTCTAATGCTTTAATCTCTTTTTCTTTCTGATCAAGTTCTTTAATTTTCGCATTTATGTCTTCATTTAACTTATCTGAAACCCTCCTTGTACGATCACCAGTACTCTCCAAATTCTTGATTTTATCTTTTAAGTCAGTAATTTGTCTTTGAAGTTCTACGATGTATTGTTCCTTTAGCATGATATTATGGGAATTTTCCGAATTTTCGTCACTCCAAATTTCTTCTTTTTTGCTCAATTGTGTTTGTATATTTTCTTTATCAGTGACTTCAGATTCAATTTTTTCTTGCAAGGAATCCCGTAATTGTTTTAGTCCTTCAACCTCCGCTTCTAAATCGTTTACTCTTTCCTCATATTTCTCCTTTTCTTTTGTCACTTTGTTAAATCTTTCTTGAAGCATCGCATTATGTTCCTTTGCTGATGTAACTTCTGTTTCTAAAGCATTGATCATCTTTTGTTCATCTGTCCCAAGAGGGAAACCCAAAGATATCCCTGCTGTATTTGTATCATGTTTGTCATCTGGTGCATCGTATATAATTGACTCTAGAAGATACTGAACAGCCTTCTTGGATCTGGGAGGGAGTTTTTCAATCTGTAACAGATAGATATTTAGCCTATATTAGAGCAATTATTACTTCGGAATTAGTAATCCCATTTCTCCAAGATGTCATTTCAGAATTGCAAACACCTCAGTTAATCAGTTAATGTGATCCATATTATAAGCCCTATTGAATAAGTTTGTAGTATTCCTAACATGCATCATAAGCCCTATTGAATAAGTTTGTAGTATTCCTAGCATGCATCATAAGCCCTATTGAATAAGTTTGTAGTATTCCTAACATGCATCATAAGCCCTATTGAATAAGTTTGTAGTATTCCTAGCATGCATCATAAGCCCTAATGAATAAGTTTGTAGTATTCCTAACATGCATCATAAGCCCTATTGAATAAGTTTGTAGTATTCCTAACATGCATCATAAGCCCTATTGAATAAGTTTGTAGTATTCCTAGCATGCATCATAAGCCCTATTGAATAAGTTTGTAGTATTCCTAACATGCATCATAAGCCCTATTGAATAAGTTTGTAGTACTCCTAGCATGCATCATAAGCCCTATTGAATAAGTTTGTAGTATTCCTAACATGCATCATAAGCCCTATTGAATAAGTTTGTAGTATTCCTAACATGCATCATAAGCCCTATTGAATAAGTTTGTAGTATTCCTAGCATACATCATTGGAAAGTCAACTCGAACAAGTAGCAACCTTTAATACTAAATAGTATGCCGATTGAAGCCAGATCTCCACATCATTCTTTGATCGCACTGTTACATGCGATGCATACAGGACGTGTACATAATATACCATTAAAAGATTTTCTTTTTCAGAGGCTATAAAACGCGGTTTTTACTAACGGTAAGTTATTTACTTAGTTAATTTGATAATGATTGCATTGAAATGCAGTCTGTATAAAATACAAAAAGATGAATGGATGATTCCTCATGGTAAAAGTTTTGTTAAAACGCCAAATGACCAACGAATATTTAAAATGAAGAAAGACTTACCAAGTCAAGCATATCTTCATGTACTTGAACAGACTCGGAAATACCACTTGCAATTAGGTTATCTTTGCCATGCGCTGCTTCCATCGATAAGGTCGATGTTAATTGTGTAGTGTCCTTTGGAGAACTACTCCCACCCAACTTCCTGACAAATGACCCTAAGATACTAGATTTTGGTTTCGATGTGCTCTGATTTGCTTTTTTGTCCTTATTACCCATTTCCACTTGGCTGGTTGGCTGATTCGTGATTGCCCCGAGAGGGCTATACTTTGACGGCTTTGGAGGAGGAGGCCATTTATGTGACAGCCTACCCACCTTCACTAAATCTAAAGCTAAGTCGTCCAGTTTATCGAGTATGTCCTCTGATGTTAATTTAGTCTTTGTAGTTTTGCATTGGAAACTAAATCCTTTTTGACACGCTACAAGAATTGTCTGACCTGACTCAATCTTCCTATGGGATTATTGCCACTTCGAAGAAGTTCTAAAATTACTGAAGTATTGATCAGAAAATTTCCATATAGTATGATTCATACTTTCTCCTATCCTAGACGGTGAGGAGTGTATTTGGAATTGAAGCTATTGATAAGGACTTCGACGAAATAATGAAATATCCATGCAGCCCAATTCGCGAACCTGCTAAACATAAAGTAATTGATCATGAGACTTTATTTTACTTCCTCATCCCCAATAGCATTACTCTGTATATCTGTTGAAGAATTAGGAATACGGGAATCTATATTCCAAAACGAAACTACTTTCGTTTTAATCCGAATGGACCGAACTGACGTGTGATGGTTTTTTCGTGTGACTAATTGGAAACAACTAGCATCATCAACATTATAAGTTTTTGAGATCATCATTTTGAAATATAGCAAGAAAATTAAAGCTAGGCATCTACATCATTTCAATCGTCTACTAGACTTGAGACCAGAGAGATCAATTAGTGAACTACGCTAGAGTTTAACAAAAGGACACATTAGGATATTAAAGGTATTTTAATTCATTAATTTACTTAAAACAAATTTGAGAATTAATTCAAATTCAATTAAGAAACACATTTCGATTAATTAAGCTAAACACATAAAGGTGCGTTCCCACTCACAAGACTCCATGCAAGATGGCTGGGAACTTAAATTAGCTTTCACATTATTTGTGTGATCTCGCCGTTCGCCATCATGTGACTTATTTTCGGCATTGATTTTCTAATTAAGTAATTTTTGTATTTGGTGTGATAGGGGATGTGTTGTCGTAAAACTTTTTGTTTTGCCCACATGTAGCCATGTCGTCCCCGCCATCCCCACACGGCCTAAATATGACAGCTCCATAACAAAACAGAATTAAATGTACATTTCAAATTTTATTTTTAATAGGTTATTTAATAGGATAAATTATGGACCGCATACACCAAGAGCAAATTTTAAAATGGACGGCGTTGCGATCGGGGAAGTGTGAACTGTTATATAGTGCTAAAAGAGATGGCTTTAGCGCCAAAACCTTTCACCAAAGATGCGATCAACGAAACCCAACTGTAACATTGGCGTACAATACTTCTGGCTATGTTTTCGGTGGCTACACCTCCATACCATGGACCAGCCCTGAAGATGAGGGTGGTTTCTTATGCGACAGCACTGCCTTTTTATTTCGACTAGAGGCGGACAATCGATTTAGCCCCGCAATAGCTAGAGTCAAAGAACCAACTGAAGCCATTTTTGTTTCTAAAGATCACGCGCCATGCTTTGGGGATGGCGATTGGTATTCATTCTCAAAGGATTTGGAGCCATCTGCGGATATGACGTATGAAAGTAACGCATTGCCGCCACAACTTGGAAAGGCTTATAGCGACAGCCTCGACACAAAGTCATTTTGCGGGAACAATATCAAGTTTAAGAACTTTGAGGTCTATGCTATCATCTTAGGTGAGTCAGAGTGTCTTATCAATATCAACACAATCATAAACTTAAAACACGTGTATTAATATTTTACTTGAATGATCGTATGAGTTCTGGGATATTGGTGTGTGTCATTCTATGTCATCGTGACACTCGTAATTCTGAGAATGTGTTCTGTCACTTTTTAATACGCTCCCTTTAGATTTACTTGTTTGTATCATGAATCAGCAATGGGTACCGTCTCGGTCACGATAACTTTTGTCATATATTGATCTGAGAATCTATGTTTATAGTGCTATTTGCTTTTAGACAAAGACGTAACGGCTGAGAGCTGCCCTTGGCGAAGAGGGATTAGCTGGTCGCAAGAGGTCAGTACCAAAAATCGGTTAGGTTTTGGAAATTCAGAGGAGGATGTGGGAATAAAATAGTTTTGAATTTTTTGACAATTTTGGCCCATTTCTTATCAAAAATTCCATGTTTGGATCACATTTTCCAAAAATGCCAAATTTTTATAATATTCTGTTTTTGAGGCCCCTAAAGATCAATTTGAGGCCCATAATGAAATAAGAGTAAGTATTCATAGCGTAATCCTAATATTCAATTCAAGGACCATATTAAACTGATGTCGTACCTACAAACATACAGACCTCCTGAAGAACTGAGCATCCCTGCTGCTAATATCCTAATGGTCGGGCAAGTCGGTTCGGGCAAGTCCAGCATATACAACACATTGAACTCCATATTCAAAGGTTACGTAGTCACCAAGGCATTCAGTGGTAGTGGAGCTGGAAGTATGACAACAAAGGTAAGATAAGATAGATGGCGTGTTATACATTTGTTCAGTTAAAGCAATTAGAAGAGGGGGATCCTCCCCCTTAGCAATTAGTTACAATCTGACCAATCGCAATCTGACTTTTTAGTTTGATATGTGATAATCCGAAATATAGTAACTTAAAGTCTTTCTATTCAAGTTTTTATGTCACCACCAAAAAAGTGGTGACATATTGTTATGGTCTCCGTTTTTTGACGGCGGTAAAGGTAAAAAAGGTCGAAAGGGTCTTTTTTCAACTTGCTTCAGATTGACCAATTTTTTCAAAATTATCTACAAGTTATCAGAAATTCAAATCTGACTTTAGATTTGAGATTTGACCTTCAATGACCTTCTCAATGTCAAAAAAGGTCTTTATCAACTTGCTTCAAATTGACCAGTATATTGTTTCAAAATCATCTACAAGTTCTCAAAAATTCAAATCTGACTTCAGATTGAACTCATAATATTGTGAGCAACTAGGTGGTGACATTTTACCATGTTAATGCCTTGTTTATCGTCGATATGATAATTGTCAGTTGTTTTCCAGTACCGACGATACGAGGTCCGAACAGAGCACGGCCCTTTACGTGTACGGCTCTGTGACACAATGGGTATTGAGGCGGAGGGTGGACTAAACGTTGCAGACTTTCCTTATATTCTAGATGGTAACCTTCCTGACAGATTCCAGGTACGTTTACCTAAAACTAATAACAACGTGACATAGGTCAGTCTGTCGATTGTGCATGCCATATTCCGTTCATTTTCCTCACCTTCCATGTGAATGTCAGTAATATTATGTGACCAAAGTCGGACTTTAGTAACAATTAGACCCAATACACACATTTGCTTCAATGATAGATAGCGCGAGGATCTGTGTAAAGAAATAAGTAAAGCACTCATTTGTGCAATCTGTTAAACTTCTGTGGCATTACCTATAAAGCTAATTAAAATCATTGTAGTTCAAAGCAGGAGGCCGAATCACACCAAAGTCTCAAGGTTACATCAAGGATCCTCCTTTGGCAAACATGATTCATGGCGTCATATTTGTAATAGATGGCAGCACGATCACGATGATGCCCGAGGAGGTTTATGATAAACTGAAGGCTATCCAGGAACAAGTAAACGAAAGAGGTACGATAAAGACTAGTTATAGTGATCACAAGCAACTGATTTTGTAAATGCTAATGTCATCGTTAATAAATTGTTTTTACATATATTGTTCTATTTTCTTTATAGATTTGCCGCTTTTAATTGTCATAACAAAATCCGATAAGTTCTGTTCACACGTAAAATACGACACCTCGTTGACGTTCAGAAGCTTGAACGTCAACGAACTTGTACAGATGGTTAGTGACAAGTTTGGCATGCTAGAAACAAATGTACTTCCTATAAAGAATTACTCAACAGAAATGGAGTTAGACAAGGACACAGGTAACAATTGACATTTAGAGCCAGAAGTGTATAATAATTATTTAAGAGCTGTGTACGTAAAGGTACAATCATTTAACTACCAACACTGCTTAAGACAGAAGATAAAATGTTGAATTGTTATTTGAAACTGTGAAAATGGTGAATTTTATTAGATTTGGTATTATTCACATATTTTAGAATGCCTCATACTCCGCCAATATTACAGTTTTCCATTTCGCCATCTATACATTCCAAAATAATTTAAAAACTGCTAACCACCTCCTAAAGTATTCAATTAATTGTGGGAATAAAATGTCACCATGTTTTTTTTTGTACGACAATTCCATAGTCGCAAAAAGGCATTTTCTTTAAACGGGTTTGGTTTGTAACTTTGTATGACTGATTTATCTTTGGTATCTCCCTTTGCAGATATTCTCACGATGGTTGCAATGAGGCAGGTACTTAGAGCAGCTGACACATTCTTCGAAGACCAAGTGGAACTACTAGATACAGAATAGAAATCTCAAACTGAATAGACCATCAACTAATCACCTTAGAAGTAGAAGATGAAATACCATCTGATAGAATTGAACTGTTCACAGAAATATACAATCGTTGTGAATGTGTAGGCTGTTGTATTCTTCATTATATTGACTTTTCAATGGCCATGACATTATTTAAAATCCAAACCCTGAGACACTTAGCCTAGTACAAAACAGCGATGACATCTTTCAAATAAGCTAAGTCTAATAAAAAATCTGAAATACAGACTTAGAGCTATTGTTTTGCATGTGCTATTTAGTTGCTTTTATTGTTGTAATATAAAGAACGGCAGATGTTTCTTACAAAGAGCCCCATGAGATAAGGCAAATAATTTCAGACAATTACTCTTTGTATTGACTTTGAAGACGGGTGCATCTATAGACCTGTATCTAATTTGTCAGTTTTTTCTAAACTTCTTGAAAATCTAGTCCATCTGTTCATGAACGTCTTTATCAATTTATCGAAAATAATCAAATCTTTTACTTACAACAATTTGGATTTAGAAAAGACTTCTCCACATATATGGCAATATTAACTTTTGTTGAAAATATTAACAGCCTTAGAAAATGACGACTATTCAATTGGACTTTTTCTTGATCTTTCAAAAGCGTTTGACACGTTAATTCATGAAATATTGCTTAAAAATAAGAATTTTATGGAATACGAGATAAGTCCTTCAATTTTTTCAAATCATATTTAGCCAATTGAGAACAAGTGGTCTTTAACAATGATACTTCATCTGAAGTTAAATCAATATCTCATGGAATACCCCAAGGATCGGTTCTAGGGCCACTCTTATTTATCTTATACATAAATGATATGTATCTGGCATCTCCCACTTTGAAATCAGTTTTATTTGCTGATGATACTAACATTCTGGCGCATAACTCGAATGTAGACCTACTTGTCAATAATCTTAATCGAGAACTTTTATCTCTGGATGATTGGTTTAGATCAAATAAACTATCACTCAACTATGATAAAACCAAATACATAGTTTTAACAAAGAAGAAAGAGCAAATTAATAAAAATGTGAATATAAAGATTAATAATATCAACATTGAAAGGGTAAAATCAATTAACTTTCTTGGTGTTCAAATTGATGAATATCTTGATAGATAAAAGGAGTGGTATCGATGTGGAGAACTGAATTCAACAATGTTTTTCTCTTAAACCAATCATTGAAAACTTTCTTTAAAAAAACATGGTATTTTATGTAATGTTGACTGATTGACAACAATTTATTGCGAAAATTATTTAGAAATATTTTGTACAACTGTTTTTGTTAACATTTTTTGTTTTTTAGTGCAATTGTTTTTGCTCCTTTCTAACAATTCTTGAGAATGAAATGAAATGTCTTTCCGAAGCTTGTTGGAACGAGATAGCAGATACAACATGTTTTTAGACCTCTCAATATTGTGGTTGTACGAAGGAATTTTTGATTGATTTTTGGAGGGGGTATTCAAAAAATTAAAACAAGGTCCCCCCAGTGTAGATAGAAATCAAGATAAACCTTTTATTTCATTGACAAGATACTTTTTAAGGTTTCCTTTGTACAATTACAATGTTGAGAGACCAAAACATGTTGTGTTTATGTCGTTTTGTTCCAATGGGGTTCGGAAAGATGTTTCATTTCACTCTGGAAACATGATACCAAGAACAAAACAAGTGTTTGATGTGTTTTCTGAAACAATATAGAAGAAAATATATATATTTATTTATTTCAAATTATACTGTTACCATTCAAAAGATGACCATTAGATTGACGATGTGTAAAATTTTAGATTTTTTATGACTGGTTTAAGAGAAACGTGTGTTCAAAAAGTTCTCGATATCGATACCACTCCTTTATTTCTTTAGATTAGACTCTATATCACCAAATACCTCATTCTGGGTCTTAAAGGCATTTAATTACAATTATAATCATCTCCAGCAGTATTTGTCCTAAGATTATCATCATGTTTTCATACTTCATTTTACTGTCACTCCTCCCTTGCTCCTTCCCAACAACTATTGATGTGCTCTTATTTATACTTCTTTATTTATTTGCGTTATTATTGTATTCAATTCATGTTTAATCAAGCAGTATATACACCTATTTTAGGTGTCCACTGTAAATAATTTGTATTTTGATTTATTGGTATATAAAGGAAATAAGAAATAAATTAATTAATTAATTAAATCTCTCAGATCCACCCATTTACTTTTATTCATAATAACCATGGTTACGTACAACGATTGATTTAAGAATTTATGGACTTTATGTTACGATTTTTCTGCTAATGCCTTCCTTATCAACAATAATCAATACTGATCATTGAAAATCCAATGTTGTTTGATAGTTTCCTCATTCGTGACAAGTGATATAAACTCATGGAATTGCACTAAGGGTTGGGATTTTGTGAAATAGCGTGTTTTTTCAATACGGAAGAATTAAATATTACATATATTATATTTTTTCTTCAGAGTTTTTATCACAACACATATAGTCGTCATCGTTATCGTGATAACGGTGGTTGCTTCAGAAAAAACGTTTGCCATATTTTCTTCAAATTTGAACGCATGTTAGAGAATACCAAGTTCTAGTTCTACAGTTGGTTAACTTTGGGTTGGCCACCTTCCTTGTCATCGCTATTTCAGGTAAACCGCTCCTTGGATTTATTTTTTTTGTACACAAATTAGAGGGTACCAAATTCAACAGTTGATCAACTTTTAGGCGGTCATTTCGTTTCCTGGCAGCCATCTTTGAATTGTCTTGATAAATGTTGTCATTGCCCTTCCAGAATTACGACCAGTCATTTGGCAATCATAAGCTATTTGCCTTGCTTGGAAACCACATACAGCAGTCTAAATCAGACCAAATCCACAGTGATAAAACTTGGTTTACTTTAATTTCCCCCTCCCTCTTATAGCCCGGGCGTTGAGCAGCCATCCGAAATTGGTAGAGCCCCGCCCCTGTAAGACCTGCCCCTGTAACAATATTTCTTCTTAGCCAACCAAACACTACCCTGATTTTTTCCCTAAAAGCAAAGTTCAAAATCCATCCATGTTTCACTACACATGGCATTGATTCTCCATTCATGTGATTGGTATGGGATAAACAGATCATCCTAAGTCGGTTCAGGATATTTGGATTATCCCTTGGCCAATATAATATATCTACCCTCGGGACCTACGGCCCTCGGGCAGATATATTATATTGGCCTCGGGATAATCCCAATATCCTGAACCTCATATAGGATAATCTCTATATACGTATACGTTGGATAGAATTGCAGTCAAATAAATCAAAATTCAATTTTATAGTCAATAATAATTTATTATGGGGGATATAAAACAGTGTTTTTAGTAATCGCTATTTGTTTCCCTCTGTTTAAGCACCTCGCCATGGACTATATCCTTGTTTTATTTTAGCCAATTGGGCTTTGGGACTGCTTCCCCCTGATGACATCATCGAATCATGACGATCATAAACAATAATGATAGATCATGTACACTATTCATAGATCACCTATGTTAACGTTAGAGCTATCGACAAAAATTATTTGGAAAGAAGTGGCAATACAGCATGTGCAATTGAATGATCACTATGAATTTGGTTTCACTCTCTCTCGTATTTTGTTATTATGAGGCAACGTGCAATTCAGCAACTTTGAGTCGTACAGCTATGGATAATACTTTGGAGCTGTCTGGTGTGAACGAAAAATCGGTGTATAGTTCAGATAACACTACTGCAAGCAACGATACACACCAAGATACACGACAGCGTGGTGTTGTAAGAAGAGACATGGAAAGATTTGGAGTCCAAACGGCCAACATAAGCTCATCCTTGGTATCATTGACGATCTCGCCAACGGATGATTCACCAATCGAAACAACGAATGCATTTTCTACTTCTGCAATATCCAAAAGGGCAAGTGTGATTCCATCTCTGCCAACATCAGAAGGCAGTTCCAACACAACGTTTACAATTGGCATAGCCGATACGACTTCTCTATCGTCCACAATCCCTTCAACAATCAACTCATCCATTGCAACACCCAATGCACATCCAAATTCAACTATACCAACACCAAAGGGAAATTTGATACCATCTCAATCATCATCAGAAGCCAACGCCTCGCTGATTACCACATCCATCTCTTCGTTCAATGTCTCGTCAACGTCTAGATCATCGATCGAATCAACCGAGGCAGACGTAACGTCAACTATTCCCACGAGTGAGGAAGGTTTGACACTGTCACAAACATCATCAGAAACCAGACCTCCTCAAATTTCCACCACCACTCCATCGTCCAAAGTCCCCTTAGGGTCTGAATCATCAATCGAAGCATACACAGCAACGATGCCAAAATCCGATGCAGGTGAAATACCATTGGCAACAACATCTGAGTCCAGTTCCCCTGTAGTTTCCACACTCGCCAAAACTGATGCAAAATTGCAACATTATATTCAAGAGATTTCTACCTTAAAAGGGGCTACGATTTCATTAGGCATGATACTTGCGTTTGCAATAGGCGTGATTGTGACAATGTGTTTAATGCTGAAAATGAAATTCTTGAAAAAATCAGAGACTCGAGCAACAACCGTCAAGAACGTTGGAGTAGATATGACTAGCATGAGTACGGCATACGCTTTGAAAAATGAGAACACAAATGATGCAGTTGTCAAAAACATATACGAGAAACTTGGCACATTGGGGAATGACGTACATGTAGAGGATTCACTTAACGGACATACTGAATTCAACTGCAATGATTTGGAAGATTCACAATATGGCAATTCAGAGTGCCACGGCAATGGTGTGGACACTGTGGAGGATTCAGAATATGGTAATACTGAATTCCTTCGCAATTATCAGGATGATCCCCATTATAGTAATACTGAATTCCTGCGCAATGATACAGACGAATCACAGTATGGTAATACAGAGTTCCTGCGCAAACAGCATGTATCATAAGGATCCATGTCGAAATTATATATTTGGTTTTCGGAACGGGTAGCCAAGAAAACTATTCATGAAGATCGCATTCGATTTTGATTTTGGCTTAACTGCTTCGTGATTTCACTCCTCTAACTTAATAATTTATCTATAATGTGGCTGTGACAATCGTGCATAATGCTGAAAAGAAAACGCTTGAAAATCGGTAATTTTATCTTGTTTCAATTATCTTTGTCCAACCAGTTTATTTCTACAACGACGTAGTCCCATTTTCACTGGATGGCATCCCCTAATTCAATGTATACTTGAACTAGAGTTCATAATTCCACTGATCATATATGGAATTGTGATACTAAGGTTCAATCATATAGGTCCTCTTCCTCCTTCATAGTTTTATTGATAACGAATTTATCCTATCGAAATTTTCAAATTGGTACACTGTTGAATCAGTTATTCGCGATCCTCAAGAAAAAATGAATTGATTTATGAATGTTCATCTCTCTGGTTGTAATGTGCTATTAACAAAGTTGTTGATTTTCTTTCTCAGAGATATTTATTTTTCTTTTGACGTTTCGTAGAATGTCCATCCTAAGCTTACTTCTTCAGAAATAAATTTATTTAATCAAACTGAAATAATTAATTATTACATATAAATTTCATTGAAATTTTCTATAGTAACGGTTGCTATTTGTCTCATTGTTATGTAATAATTAATTATTTCAGTTTGATTCAAATATAATTTTATTTCTGAAGAAGTAGGATGGACATCCTACGAAACGTCAAAAGAAAAATAAATATCTCTGAGAAAGAAAATCAACAACTTTGTTAATAGTACATGAATTGAATTGTCCTGAGGTCTCTGCATGTTTTAAGGAGATTTTTGAGAAATATCTACCTATTGCAAGGATTGCTCACATATACCACTGATAATACAAGAGGCAATTGCATTATCGTAACCTTAATTGATGGGTTTAACACATGAACTGGGTTCAAGTTATTATGCTTCCTAGTCAACTCGTACCCAAGACAACTCGTACCCAAGACAACTCGTACCCAAGTCAACTGGTACCCAAGACAACTCGTACCCACGTTTATTTTCTGTATTATGGGTGCATATAAGAAAACAAATTGAGTCTGTGTCAAAATGTTTAATGTTATAATGTGCCTCAATATTTTTTCTGAATTTAGAAGACATTTTTTCTCAATGGATTAAGCAAAGCATTTTGTTTTAACTTGGATTACCTTTGAAGTGCTTTAATTTGAAGGGCTTGTTCTCAACTTGTTTTTGTAATTCATATATATAAATGAATATAATTACAACAGTAACTTTTCAACAAATGAATCAAACTTAGCTTAGTGCATTCAGAGAAAATTAACAAGGGAACTTTAATCTGTTAATTTCTTTTCCATTTTGAACTTAATTGAATTATATTTGAACACATGCATGCAAAGTGTATTATATCATGTATGAATAAGTGTCAAAATAATATTTGATATTCAAATTATTTAGAATATTTTTTATTGCTTAATTTTATGAAGGTGACTTCTTAGAATTATCATTCTTTAATCTGATAATATGAAATCCTAAATATAGGCTGTTCAATAAGTAATGACACTAAGGCTCTCATTTTGTCAAATTTTGCTTGTTTTATCTCAAATTTTCACCATATGTTGAAAATACATTTGCCTATTTATATGCGGAAAATCACCAGATATAACTAATAATAACCAGTAATTTGGTTGCCATAGCAACATGAGGATACAGCACTTGACTTGAATCCAAATCGATAAGAATGATGGCCCATCAGCACATGTTTTATACCCCTATCTTTCTTGAGTATAGTGGATTTCGAAGCATAATTTTTGTGTTTATGTTTTATATTAGCTAATGTTTTGTGTTTATGTTTTGTGTGTATGTTGCTATGGTAACTAAATGGTATGACATCACAGTTAATTTCTCAAAAGTAGGGAATCCAATGAGTCATAATGATCATAGATTCCCTCAAAAAAGGGAAAAGTCCTGAAAACTGCAAAACCATGAGTTTGGCACTACAGCAAAGGAGTTCAATAAAAACATTTGTATTGCTTGGGAAACAAGCAAAAGATATAGTGCAGTATATCCAGGAGGCTTATGGTAATGACTCTATGAGTAATAGATCAATTTTCCGGTGGTACACTTTGCATCAGAACAGGGACTCTTGACTGAAACAAAGAGAATTCTCAGAAAGGCTGAACAAAGTGGATTTCAAAATGTCTTTGATGAATGGGTGTTGAGACAGCAACGATGTATCGGTGCTAATGGAGACTATTTTGAGTGACTTTAAATTCATATGCGCATGCTTGTTATGATATATTTATACTAAGGAGTATAAATCATTATATTGTCAATCTTAAAGAATATCAATATTCGTCAATATTTTGTGTTACAATTTTACATGCGCTTCAGATCTTTCAAAATCCCAAGTCAAGTGGCATGCCCACTATTTTTTATAAAGGGATAATTGTACTTTATATTTTGTATTTATTAATAAAATTCATCACACTTATAAAACAGTGTATTTGTGCTTATCTGACCAAATTTTATGATGATTGGTGGTAATCTCTTAAAATGAGAGCCTTGGTGTCATTACTTATTGATTATATTTTTGATAATACCATATTGCAAAATGAATTAGATCTGATACTTGTTCCAAACACTCATTAACATACAAAAATACCAATAATATTGTGAACAATGATTATGAATATGTGGAATAGACATAAATCTCTTCCCTCGAACATCTGAATCTGTGACCAATATATTTGGTGACAAATTTCAATCTATTTCTTCCAAAAACTCTTCTACATACTTCAAACTATTCTGAACTGTATGTAACCATTAGAATACAGGTATGTATATCTATACCCATTCCCAGCCCAACACTTGATTCAAAACAAAACATATACTTGGGTACGAGTTGTCTTGGGTACGACTTGACTTGGGTACGAGTTGTCTTGGGTACGAGTTGGGTACCAGTTACCGTTATTATTGGTAAATTATGGAGACTCCTCTGGGAGTCCTAAAAAAGTTACTCATGTATAGAGCGTGTTAACATGCTCTCTGCTTCCTTTGTGTAAGTACAAAGATTCCACCAGGGCGAGGTATTCCATGTTGATGTATCAATAACATAATGCATCTAATTAATATATGGAAGTGTAATAATTAAATGCTGTATTGTAATTGTTTTTTGGAACTGCTTTAACAAGTTTTTTCTTTGAAATAAAAAATTAATTAATTTAAAAAAAAATTAAATGCGAGTGTATAGGTCTCAACCGTTCTTTCCAGTCATACAAAAGTTGTAAAAATATCTGAATCTTATTGTGGTCGGGAAATATGTTTAAAATAATTAGCTACGTTGAACCGTTTCCAAAACATCCATCTCAATCGCAGTTCGTTTAGGTCGCACCATGTCGGTGTGCACACGCACTGCAATTGATATCCGATTGCATTACGTCGTTAACGCGTCCCTAGTTATGGTCGAAGTACGACATGTACGTCATCTCGTTTGAAGTCCGTTGTCACACTATTTAGAACGGTATGGTCGCCATCGAATTTTGAAATGATTCAAAATTCTAAATTGAGCTATTGAAGACATTTCAATTAAGTTCATTACTTTAGCTCAAATTAATAGAACTTGTAAGTGAACGTAATTCTAAATTGAGCTATTGAAGACATTTTAATTAAGTTCATTATTTTAGCTCAAATTAATAGAACTTGTAAGTGAACGCGTAATATTATGACACCGGCTATAACTGTCCTCTTCTCAATTGGTTCTTCCAGTGACCTAATTAATACTATTTTCCTCATACCTCTATACTCAATGGGTAAGTAATAAAGGCCCTCTTAGAGACAAGCAAAGTGGCAGAGCGGTCATCAAGATGACTATGGCTGCGTTGTAGAGAGAGCTGGCTGTATCAGTGGGAGGAATTTGATCACCCTGCTTCCCCACCCATCAGAGTTTGTACGTGCTTTAAGGGGTCAAACAAGCAATGAAGATGGGAAGTGTGCTGATGAGACTGTAGCAGCTAATAACAACAAAAGCCTGTAGTTTAAGTGCCGCTGTATGCAGCAAAGATACTTGAACATCGTTTTTACTTACCCCCCTATCACACCAAACTAGTTCTTACCCGTTCTTGCCAGTCCTACGAAAAAGTCGTAAAACGGGCTCAATCTGGCTGTGGTCGGGAAATATGTCTAAATAATTAGCTACTTCGTTCATAAACAGTCTTCAATACGTCCATCTCATTCGCAGTTCGTTCAGGTCGCACCAGGTCGGTGTGCAACGTCGTATAACGCGTCCCTTAGTCTAGAAGGTCATCATGACCTGATTACAGAACGGTATGGTCGCCATCGAATTTTGAATCGATTCAAAATTCTAAAATCACCTTCCCGTCTGAGAACGTTCATGAAGTTCGTAAATAGACCTTAGAAAGTTGCAGCTACGTTCATTCCGTTCGCACACAGTTTAAAACCAGTTTTGAAGAACGCAGTGGCAACTTGTTTGGTGTGATAGCTATATTTTTGTTAACTCGTTCATAAGCAGTCTTAAATACGTTCTTAATCAGTTTAAACCCGTTTGCAATTAGTTCTACCTCGTTCTCAATACGTCCTCAGACAATTCAACTCGTTGTTAAAACGTCCCTAGTAGGATTGAAGTACGACGGTTCCGTTCGTAGTACGTCCAGCTCGTCGTTGGTACGTTGTCACTCGTTCTAATTGTAGAACGTGAGGACCACGAGAGCATTTTGAGCATGTTCTAAGTCCTAGAGGACCTACCCGTTCAAGTACGTTCGATGAAGTTTGTAAATAGACCCCAAACGGTTCTAAGTACGTCCGTTCGTACACAGTTGAAGCCCGTTTTGGAGAACGTAGTGAGAACTAGTTTGGTGTGATAGTAGGGTTAGTAATAAAGGCCCTCCTAGAGACAAGCCAAGTGGCAGAGCGGTCATCCAGATGGCTGAGTTGTAGAGAGAACTGGGTGTATCAGTGAGAGGAATTTGATCACCCTGCTTCAACACCCATCAGAGTTTGTACGTGCTTTAATGGGGTGAAACGAGACGAGACTGTAGCATCGAATAACAACAAAAGCCTGTAGTTTAGTGCCGCTGTATGCAGCAGCGATACTTCATCGTTTTAACTTACATTACACTACCAAGGGGAGAACAAATCCCTAGATAACCACTCTCTAGATAACCACAATTCTACACTTCACGGCCACGTACAAGTTCTATCAAAAACGAGTAACTCAAC